CTTGGCACCGCTGAAGGGACTGTAGCACCGCCCAAATTTCGACGGAATCAAAGGCTTTCTCATAGTCCACATACGCCAGGCAAAGTGGCAGATTGTACTCTTCAGTCTTCTGTACAATCTGCCGCAGGGTATGTATGTGGTCTATGGTACTGAAGCCTTTTCGGAAACCGGCTTGTTCGGGAGGCTGAAATTCGTCAAGTCTGCGTGCGAGACGATTCGTAATGACTCTCGAAAACAGCACGTAGACGCGACTCAGAAGGGAAATCGGTCTGTAGTTCTTTAAGAGAGCGTTGTCGCCTTTCTTAAAGAACAAGACCACCGCACTTCTGCTCCACGCCTCTGGAGTAGTGCCACCATGGAGGACGGAATTGAAGAGCTTCTGAAGGACTTCAAGTACCGGTGTTCCACCCGCTTTCAGAAGCTCCGCTGTAATTCCATCCTCGCCTGGGGCCCTGCCGTTTTTAAGGTGCTGGAGAGCCATTCTAATCTCGCTTAGACTGACGTCCGGGATATCATCGGAATAGTGTCGGATAAGACTTGCTCTTGGATCGTTACTCACACTTGCGTGTGGCTCCAACGATGATGTGTACAGCTGCCCATAGAACCTCTCAATCTCACTCAAAATCTCAGGTGTCCCGGAAACGATGTTGCCACACTCAGTCTTCAGCCTTGACAGTTGGCTCTTTCTGGCAGACAGATCTCTGGCAAAGACTTTGGAGCCCTGGTTCCGCTCGATCGCTTCTTTAATACGAGAAGTATTAAAGTTGCGTAAGTCTCGCCGTATGCATTTGGAGATCTGTCTGTTCAGTTGCCTGTATGCTGTCAAATCTGTTGACGATTGCAGCCTCATCTCCCGTCTAACAGCCATGAGATTAAGAGTGTGATCGGAGAGTTTTTGTGTTCTTCTGCGGCGGGTCTTGCAGAACTTAGCTCCGACCGCATGGACAGTTTCCACGAGCTTGTCGTTCATATCGTCCACTGCATTGCAATCTTCTAGGCACTGGAAGCGGTTACGTAACTTGAGCTGAAAGGTTTCGGGATTCTGGATTAGAGCACGAGGGGGGACGGAGCGTTGACTTCATTAGACGAGACCTCTCCAACTTAACGTTTAGGTTCAGTGTGCCTCTAACCATTCGGTGATCGCTGCCAGTTTTCACCCTTGCGATCACTGAGACATCACTGAACAGTTGGCGTCTGGTCGTCATAATGAAGTCAATCTCATTTTTTGTCGAACCGTCGGGGCTCGACCAGGTCCACTTCCTGTGGGGCCGCTTCTGGAAGAAAGAGTTCATCATAAAGAGTCCCTCTTCTCCATAAAGTCGGCCAGCTGCTGGCCCCTTCGGTTCCGTTGCCCTACTCCAAATTTCCCTACCTTCAGCTCGCCGCTTTCTCTTGTGCCCAGTTTTGCGTTGAAGTCTCCCATCAACACCGTGTAGTAGGTTTTGGAGGAATGTATGGCTCTGGAAATATCCTCATACATTTCCTCCACCTCCTCATCGGGATGTGCCGAGGTTGGTGCGTAAACCTGAATGACCTTCAGCGAATACCGTTTGGTGATTCTGAGTATCAGGTACGCGACCCTCGTCGACACACTCCCAATCTTTACAACGTTGTTGACGAGAGATTTGTGGACGATAAATCCGACACCTCCTTGGGACAGATGGTCGCCCTCCCGGTGATAGAACAAGTTGCCGGACTCGAGGATTGCCGTGTCCTCCCCCTCTCTTCGGACCTCGGATAATCCAATAATATGCCAGCGCAACTTGTCTACCTCTTCTTCCAGCTCCAGTATCTTCTCGTCAGTCCTCAGGGTGCGTGCGTTATATGTTGCCAGGTCGAGTCGTCGTAGGTGGCAACCGAACCTCCACCGGAGATTCTTAGCACCCCCCTGCCCCGCCGTTACCATGGTCGCCACCGTAGCCAGGAATAGCGGGGCCGCCGGGGACTGGGGGCCGTCTGTTTGTGTATTTATTCATTGGGGGGTATTTGCCATAGTTGCCACGCTTGGCGAGCGGGTTGGCAACCGCAGTTTTTTATTACGTCACAGTTGTCATCAGGAAGACGCTGCTGCCCATCTCCTGCCTGTCTCCCTCTGTCGCCTCATACGACACCCACGGGAAGATATGGGGTAGTGGATATTCTTAACCGCCACTACACGGCAAATGAAGTTATATTGAGAAATTTTAAAACCCTATTGTGTCCACCCACAGACACACACACACTGTTTATGCGACAATTTTAACCGATGAGTTAGAAGAAAATATAAATTCTACATTTGAATGTGGTTTGGAGGAAATCAGTGGTGAAATACAAGCATGTGCGTATGTCTGTGGGTTTATAGTAAAAAATAATCTCAACAAATGTGAAATCTGTAAAAAAAAATTTGTATCTGAGACACAAAGTAGATCACATTCTTTTATTGAGTTAAAAGAATATAGTGATCTTAAAAATCCCTTAAATATGCCTCTAAAAACCTCATTAACTGTGTTGAAAGTGGTGCTACTTTTAGAGACAGAAAGCATACAAAAAAAGTTAAGGGGGACAATTGAAGTTTTGTTTCAAAATTCAATAAATTTGGAGTTTCTCGATAAATGTCCAGAACATAAATATATGAATATAGATTACTTATTTAATAGCGTATTTCACATTTGTTTAAAGAGATTTTGTATTTTGAAAAATCGTCCATTTGCAGAAGAGTACTCTGCGTCTTCTCTTAACCCTATAGTTGGCAAGAATATTTTTAGTAATTATTCGTTATTCTTGCTATATATATATTGGATCTTGGAGTTGTCAAAAACACATAGAAAATATAAAAAAATCTAACATATATAATTTTGGAAATATAGCGTGTGTCTTTAAATGCACATTGCTAGCTTTGTCGAGTTTAGGCTATCATAAAAGCGTGTGTCTTTAAATGCACATTGCTAGCTTTGTCGAGTTTACGCTATCAAAAAAATCGTGTGCATTAAAATATACTTCGCCATGTGCAGGGTTAAATAAAACATACTTTATTTTTATCCAATCAATGTTTTATTAATATGAAATATATTATAAAAAACTATCTGTTTTGCTTATATTGCCCATATTATTATCATAATCATTTAAGAGATCAAAAATAAGTAAAAAACATCAACAAATTCAACTTTTACCTTTAGATCAAGTCAAATCTATATTATCTTTGTTGTTAAACAATTATCACAAATTAAGGTTACAACTATTTATCTATTAAGTATCGTATGTTTATTTCTAAAGAAAAAATGCTACTAAAATAAGAGATCAACAATCAGTATTAAAGATATCAACAATCGTAACCTTTAAATCAAGGCATCACATGGTAAATAATGCTAAATAATCATCACAAATTAAAAAAAATATAATATTTTATATAGATTAAGGACTTATAAAAAAATGTAGTTAAAATTAGGTTTAGTAAAAAAATTAGACTCATTTAGTGTGATAATCAAAAAAAAAAATACGACCCTCTACTAAACAAAGACGTATATTACATTTCTCACATTTCACATGTTTGTGGTGTGACAAAATTTGCACATCTAGAAGTATTAGCAATCTGTTTTGTCCCTTAAAATGTGTTGAGATCATTATTTCAGGCACGTCTAAAAACTTTGAGTTTCATATGCTTTTTACCTTTGTTTTCACGAAGATATATGAGCCATGCATTATTAACACATATGTCAAGAAGCTGTGAGCATAAAGGAATATACCAACGATGTGCTCGCATTTCAGTCCGATAAAGTGCAACAAGCATATCTGCAAGATCCACACCTCCCATATTATTGTTATATTCTTTAATTATGTTGGGACATGTAACAGGGTTTCTGCTTTTTGTGTTTTTGCAATATCGCAACACTTTTTGCACTGGTTGGGAGTGAGTGTACGTACTTGCCGCAGTGACACATTTAGTGTCGAACCATTTAACTACCGCTATTTTGCATTCCTTAGAAATGACCTGGGCACAAGATACACGGCCTCTTTTCGTTAAGTTTTTATCAGTCGGCAGTTTAGCTGCAGCCCCTCGAAGTCTATTTTGCCTTATGGTCCCTAAAGCAAAGACGCCATATTCTTTTCTCAAATGCTTCAGCAACTCCAGAGAAGTGAAACAAATTGTCGAAGTACAGCACTGAACAAGCTTGTTGTTTGATTGTCTTGGATAAAGCTAATACAACTTTTGCGCCTAAACCCATGCCATTTTCATCTTCCGTAAAATCATGATAACGAAAAGTATCCTCTCCACCGTATGCCAAAAAGTCATAAATAATACCGGATACTCCTGCGCGAACGAATACTTTGAAACCCCATTTACGGGGTTTATTTTTAATGTATTGTAACGTGAACCAGCTCGTGTACCTTTATAAGGCACCATCATTTCGTCAATGGAAAGTCAATTTTGAGACAATTACGGCGTATACTTTCTAAAAGATTTCTAACTTTAAAGTACCTGTCTCCATCATCTTGTAAATTATTAGCAAAGTGTAAATATCTTCGGATCCGTTGAAACCGTTTTAATGGCATAATGCCATTAAAACGGTTCAGTTAGCAATTTTATTGTAACGCAGCGTTTTACACCAATAATCTGTGTAAGCAGGCATGTTTACTACACCCATCAATAAATGTATCGCAATGAAATCCCTTATTTCATCCGTTGTGACATTAAGTGGTGTGCTTTTTGTTTGCATGTGATACAAATTAGTTTGCTGGACAATCAATTCTATAAGGTCATCGTCAAAGAACATCCGAAAGTACTCTAACGGTGACCTAGATTGCAGTGATGGCGGGAACATTCTAACTTCAATATCTGCTTTACCTTTAAACGATTTCGTACAAGTCCATTTCGCATCTATTCGCTTTACGCGTACAAGTGCCTTTTTGACAACAACTGTAGTTTTTTTCTTCGATCGAGTGCCACCAGATGGAGATGCAATGTTAAAATCATTTCGACCAGCTAATGGTGAAATTTGCGAAACGTTGAAAGTTGGTATAGATTAAATGTTTGTAGCCAGTGGACTTTGGTGTTTGATTTGCTGGTTTTGGCTATCTGAAGCAGTTGGAACTGAAACTGAAGCAAGTATAGACGGTGAATCTGGACCAAGATAAGATGGGGTCGGTACTTGATGACATGAATTAATATTCGAGTCAATCACTGACGAGCTTACAGTTGTTATGAAAACAGTATCTTCACCACTATCCGAAAGTAAATGAAGATTTACAAATGAAGATCCTAGTGATGGTGGTTCTGAACTTACATCAGAACCCTCAAAGATCGTGTTTTCCACAATTTTGCGTGCATAATAAACTTCATCTTCAGAAGAATCACTGTTCTCGATGTCGGAACCAGCACCAGACTTAGGCACTAACGCCAAAATTCTGGCGGTTCTTGCAGAAGACTAGAACAAAAAGAATATTATTAAATAACCAACCAAAATAAATAATTAATTTCATTGTTATCCATAATAATATATTAAAAAATAATTGCCTCCAAACTGGCAATGTATCCACAAATGCACACACCCAAATTCAAGAAGTCTGTTGTTAAGTTGGCAATGTGCATTTAAAGGTACATGCAGAATGACACGAAAATTAGACTAAGAAAACTAAATTTAATTAACAAAATTTATAGTTCACTCGAAAGAATGTGTTATTAGGTACTATTTCTATCAAGTTGTTTTTCATTTTTATAGTTAAATGATAGGATCCCGATTTTTACCTTGTATGTCGTAGACGCCCGCGCACGCTCTGCCATCTTGTGACCTTCTGTGCGTCCTGGTGTTGCCACTGCTCATCAAAATGCCGAAGATATGGGTATTACACTACGCGAATGAAAATAAAATAAATGAAAAATATTCTTGATTTTTGCCTAGGATTTTTTACAAAAAAGTGTGCATTTAAATGCACATCGTCAAGTATAGGGTTAAAAGAAAAATGAATGTGCTGCAGAATAAATAAGATATTTTATTGCACACGGTGACTTAAAATCACATTTAAGTCATGCATTAAATTTATAATATTTTATAATTTAAAAAAATTAAACATTTATTGTAACATAATAATAAATACAGAACAATAGAACTTTTAATTAGTAACACCTATTAGAATACTTTAATTTACAAACAAAATATTAAATCATTTGATCAAGAAATATAAAAAATACTTGACATAGTCATTTTTTTTGTACATTTTAGCTTGAATTGTATTTTTTAAAGTACAATTATTAAAAACACTATTACCACTACCATTTACTGTCACATTAAGCCAACATCTGGATCATACAAAACTTGTGTAAACAGTCTTGTTGCACTTTTGATCCCATTTAATTAAATCTATAGATTTGTGTACTCAAACTTTTCAAATAATCATTTAGTATTCTATTCTACAATTTTTAAATTAAAAAAGTGGATTTGAGTCACTTTAACCATAAAGTAATGTGAATGGAACTTAGGTAACCAATTACTGAACTGGCACACGGTTCAATAATCGGCTAGATTGTAATCTTTTAATATTTTGAAACTAATTTTTCTGTAGTGTTGTGTTTTGTACAGTCACACTCACGTCGGTGGTGACATTTTAACGTTAGGTTGAGTGTCCAAGTTAATGCAGACTGCTTTGTCTTGGGTAGTAATTACAACATGTAACATAATTAATGCACACTAAATTTAATGTGAAATATTGTTCACATTTTCAGCCATGTCAAATGCAGGTAATATTGAACATATAAAGAAAGTAGTTAATTTGAACGCAATAAAGTTTTTGTGATTGTATTATGCTTTTAACTCAATATTCTAAATAGCGTGTCTGAGTATGTGTATTTATCATATAAAATTTTGTATAGGTTAAAATTAAATTATTTTTTCATCTTTGAATAAGCATCGCGTAAAGTAAAAGTAAAGTAAAGTTGCAGCCTATATGCGTCCCGCTGCTGGGCACAGGCCTCCCTTCATTTCTGAGAGGGTTTAGGGCAAGGAAGTGTCTGCCGCGCTGCCCCAATGCGTGTTGGCGAACTTCACATAAGTATCTTCGAAATTTTTCTTGTTATTCCTCAGACATGCAAGTTTCCTCACGATGTTTTCCTTCACCGCCGAGCACGTGGTAAATCAGCACTTAAAATTGCAATTAACAATTTCATTGGTGCCGGCGGGGATCGAACCCGGGTTACTCGCGTTCTGTTATATTTACAGCGAGCGTTAACCATCTGAGCTACCACGGCTGAACCATTCAACAAAACATCACGTAAGACAGCAATAATGTTTCATTAGTTAGTAAAGTGGACTATCCATATTTAACCCTTAAACCCTACCCATTATAGGAGAAACACTATTGCTACCCAGGGGCTTTAAGGACCCCAGTATATAAAAAATCTTACTTAAAAAATAAAAAACAATTTAATTACAATTATTATTTATTGTAATAATCTGCTTATTAGACAATACAAAAAAATTGTTAATGATTTTTGGTAACACATTCTTGACACATAGCCTCAGTATGTTCACCGCAGAGGTTTTTGGCACATGCCACAGGTGACCTTGGTTTTTCGATCCTTACCCCTTGGGCACATTGCACATCTGTTTTTAGCAGTGGGAGCAGAACTTGGTTCTTGCAATGGCTGCTTCTTTTGCAAGATTCCACCTAAGAGAACTTGAAGATTCATGGGCAAAAAGGGCCATGTTAATCGTTCTTCCATTTGAGGGGTGATCAGATCTATGGCAAGTTTTTTCAAGAAATGATGTCTTTTGTAATTCTTTTTGTGGCCATTTTCAGTAGAACATATGAAATAACACCTACTATATTCAGAAGGCCAAAAAAATTGCCATTGGCCACCTTTTTGATCTCCTAGATACGCTGTACTTGTGGCATAGCTGATCCATCGAATCGACTCCGTATTTAGTTTTATTATAAAAATCTATCATCTCTGGTACTCGAATCGTTGCATCAGGATCTGCTGCTCCATGCATAGTTGACAACATGGTGACAATTTTTTTTTTATTTGGATTTTGGGGGACAGTAAGACAAAAGCGTAAGTTGTAACTCCTGTAAAGGCAAACTTTGCCGTGTTGCAATCGCGATCTTTTAACTCAAGAAAAGAAGGTGGAATTTCTCTTTTGTTTCTACGTAGTGTATCTACAAGGGTCACCTGCTTTTGCAACAATTCTTTTGCTGCTGGTATTGACGTGAACCAATTATCACAAGTGAGGTTGCGGTTTGTGGCGTGAATTGTTTCAGTCAATTTCAAAGTAAAGAAATGAGCAGCTGGTTCATTTGTAGGGCACGAACCTTTGCCTAAATATACAAAAGCATCTAACATATAGGCAGTTTTAGCTTTGAGATATAGAGTTTTATATAGTATATAGAGTTTTAGAGCCGTGGTAGCTCAGATGGTTAACGCTCGCTGTAAATATAACAGAATGCGAGTAACCCGGGTTCGATCCCCGCCGGCATCAATGAAATTGTTAATTGCAATTTTAAGTGCTGATTTACCACGTGCTCGGCGGTGAAGGAAAACATCGTGAGGAAACCTGCATGTCTGAGGAATAAGAAAAAAAATATTTCGAAGACATGTGAAGTTCGTCAACACGCATTTGGGCAACGCGGCGGACACTTCCTTGGCCCAAACCCTCTCAGAAATGAGGGGAGGCCTGAGCCCAGCAGTGGGACGTATATAGGCTGTAACTTTAACTTTAAATAGGCAGTTTTAGCATCGCAAGTCATCAAAATTTTTATACCATATTTATCTGGTTTACTCGGAATGACTAATTTTACATTTTGAAGATACATCTACCTCTAATGCCCAATAACATTTCGTATAATGTACGGCAATCGGAAGGGCTATATACTTCACTCGAAACTTTGAAAATGTGATCAAAAATGTTTCTAATTGGTGCTAATCTATCATTTTTTTCTTGTTCACTGAGATTCAAATATTCAGTTTGTACAAAGCATTTCAAGATAGTTGTGCATGTGGTCAGTATTTTGTCGTATAGTAAATATAATTTCGGAGTCTCGGATTGCATTTCTTTATTGAGATCGGTAAATATAGGTAATGCAAATTTCAAAAACTCCAGGTACAATTCAGTTGTCGGTTCGAGAGCCTTGGAGAGAATTGATTGCGTACAATTTTATAGCTGGTAATTGTTCCAGAAGCCTATTTACTACCTCAATAAGTGACACCCATCTGGTGCAGGGTGATCAATGCTTAAATATTTGTGAATGCTTGAAATATTTTGAAATCTCCTATACGTTTTGGAGAATTTTGTATATGATTATATATGTCTCTACAGAAATCTTCCACGCCCCTTGGCAATGTCTCACATGCGTTTGATGCGCAAAGGTTAAAAAAATGACAAATGCACTTCATAGTAAAAAGGTGAGGTATGTCATTTTTAAACAAAGTGACCAATGAATGTTTATCTCCAAACATAACGTTAGTGCCATCAGAAGCAAAGCCTATCAAGTTTGATTTGCAAGGAATATGTTTTTCAACAAAATATTCAACTATTTTGCGATACAACGCTGTTGCTGTACCATCTACGATTGGTATTGAAGTCAGAAATCTATCTTCAACGCTGAAATCTAATTTTACTATTCCTACGAGAAGCGCTAAATGTTTTATCGTAGACTTATCTGTGCTTTCACAACAATTAATGCAAAGCAATTGTTCTGTAACAACTCTATTATATTTTCTTCTGCTGTCTGCCTAGTTACATTAACAATAATAGCTCTAGCTTTTGTGCGGCTCATTGATAATTGTTTCGCAATTTTCGAATTTGGACATACAGCGCAAATCAATTTATTCAAATGAGATGCTATGTTAAAAGACAGATTATGCTCAGCATTTTTACTTCATCCGCTTTAGCTATGATTTTTGTATCTTGTGAGTTGTAAGCTGAGGTAATCATGGTCAGTTGTGTTTTGTATACTATCCGTGTTTTTTTAATTGTGTAATTGTGTATACCACATTTTCTGTCGCAATTACACGCAGAACAAAAGTAATAAGTCTCACCTTTAGTGCTATTCTTTAACCAGCCTTTGAACCTATCATCTTTTACCACAAATTTACGAATTTCTGCTCATATATCACATTTTTCTTCTAAGGAGGACTTTTCCCAGTCGATGAATCACTACTAATTTTATCAAAAACGTTGTATTTATTGTTTTTTTTTTTAAATAGAGGCCGCAATTCAAAGAAACTGTTCAAGGTGTTGTGACTATAAAACAATACGCAATACAATATGCGTGTGTCTGTCATTCATAAATTGGGATTTCCCCATGCAAAAAAATATGATTTTCAAACACATATAAGTACTGCCATCTAGTGTCATTGCGTTTTCTTACGTAGTAGTTATCAAAAAATGTTTGCATAGCAAGTGTAATAGGTGGCGCTGAACGCTAGTTGAAAAACAGTAGAAAATAGGAATGAAACAGAAAGCATTGAAATCAATATGAAAACAGCAAATCTACTGTTAAAACAGTAGGGTTGGTAACAGTGCCGCCGGCGTAATTAAAGATTAGCTCGAGTGGCACGATAGTGCGTTTCGTTATTGAAAAAATATCTACAAATATTCAAACTCTGGGGTTTGCTGGACCCCCGGGTAGGGTTTAAGGGTTAATATATGCTGCACTATATTGCCATCTCTTTTTTTGCTTCCGACATGGCTTTGTTTTTAAGAATATGTAAATAAAGTGGTGAAATTAAATACTTGTTAAATGATTACCACTAATGAAAATATAAAAATTATTACGAGATTTTATATAGGATTTAAATAGAGCCATAAGACAAACACGCACAAACTCATTTATCTCTTTCGACGCTCACTCGTACTGAGCAAGTTAAGAAAAGTGTCGATCCACCATCCAATTACTACCGGATTGCACCAAAAGCATTATTTAAGGCGCTACCCTGACCAAAACCTGGCATAAGTGCGTTTTTCAGACTCTATTATCTCATTAGTTATGAAAAATAAACTACATCTAAAAGTACATTATTAATGTTCGATATCTTATCATCGCATTCCACGTTCTAATTTATTTTTATGTGCTATAAATACATTTAAAATCAACTTTTAAAAAATGACTAAAATTCTTGATTACATGCATCTGTTGCTAAACGCAACGCTCTAATCATTTGAGGATAACACTAATGGATAGATAATGAAAAAATCTATATTCTCCACGTTTTATTTAAATTTTTAAGTTCGTTTTTTCTCTTTAATTTGAAATAATTCCAAAAATTGTGTGACTTCTATGATAAAGGGGCGTGCGCAGAGTGCGGGCGGCATTACGCTGTATGCGTTTGTACGAGGTTGCCGCGTCGCTGGTGACCGCGTCCGTATTTCGCCGCAAACATAATATTATTTGAGTACCTACCAACCGATGCGCTTACGTCACGGTATATTGTAACTCGGCCGTATCTTAGAAATAAATCTTACAGCCATGCGGTACCTAAACATGCATAGGGCTGTCTGCCTCCAGCATTTTTACATTTGCCCATTGATTTATGTGTTTTATAACTCAATGCATTTTCCTACTTTGTGTTTCCATTTAGTTTTATGATTGTACTTAAATATACTTTTTTATATAAACAAATATATAATAGGTACTTTGTGAATTGAATAGGAAGTGTTCAATAAAAATGCGTGTCGTTTTATGATTGGTAGATTTAATTAAAAAACCATGTTTATGTTTGAATAACAAATCGGTCTTATAAATTTGCGGCCGAAAAATATTTGCAAATTTGAAATGCTTTATTATTAAAATTTTAAATATAAAAAAATCCGCATTATAATATAAAGCTTAATTAAAAATTGTTTTGGGAAACATGGACAAGTTGGAGTAAAGGAATATCTTTTACTCGGTTATAGATAACTGCAGCTACTTTACAATTTATATGTTTGGTTTTATATGAAGTTTGGATTTATTATTTTTTTATTTCTATTCTATATTCTGAAAGGGTCCTTGAAAGGGTCTGAAAGGGTGTTGGCGAACTTTGCATGTCTTCGAAATATTTTTTTTCTTATTTCTCAGACATGCAGGTTTCCTCACAATGTTTTCCTTCACCACTGAGCACGTGGTAATTCAACACTTAAAATTGCAATTACAATATTATTGGTGCCGGCGGGGATCGAACCCGGTTTGCTCGCACACTGTGAAAATTTTAGCAAGCGCTAACCATCTGAGCTACCACGGCTCCTCTCCTCTCGAGCTAGAGACTTTATTTTATTTATCGTCAGGCCTGTTGGTCTAGTGGTTAGTAACCTTACTGCTATGCCGCAGGTCGTGGGTTCGATTCCCATCCAGGATAAATGTTTGTGTGATAAGCACGATCATTTGTTCTGTGTCTGGGTGTAATTTATCTATAATATTTATGTATTTAGAAATATATAAGTATGTTTATCAGTTATCTAGTACCCATAACACAAGCTCTGCTTAACTTGGGACTAGATGGCGTTGTGTGATAGTTGTGGAATATTACTATAATTATATTATTATTGTTGGGGTATCTGTATAGTTTTCTCATCTGGTTGGTTTTTATAAATATATAACTATAAATTAAAATGAAAAGATAAATATACATAAATATTAATAAAATAAAATAAGTACAAACAATACACAAATAAATAAGTTGATAAAATCAAGGCAAACTTAGGGTCAATTATTATTTTGATAATTAAACTAGTGAAATTCCGC